ATTGTTGCAATGATATCAATTTTTTGTGAAAAATTACCATAAATATCACAAAAACTATTAAACTCCAGTAATGAAGGCTTAATATAAAGGTGGTTAATAAATCACTTGGAGATGTGGCAGATGTCAGGTACTCAGGCACTTTCTACAGGGATAGGTACAATTGGATGGTGTAGAAAGCATAACATAAGAGTAGAGGTTTAGTATATAAACATTTTTATTACAAAGGAACATGACAGTGTCATCAATACATATCTTCACTCTGACAAATTGTTTATTATGCCGCATAGACCATCCAGTTGCAACATATGGCCATCGCTGTAAAACCCTAAAGATAGTTATGTTTCCTGGGTATGAAAATTCATAGCTGATCCTACGAGAAAATGTAGATCGAGGATATCTGAGAACAAAGTGCAGAAGAGAGCTTTATAATTCTTCATCATATTGCATGGGCTATTAAGATTAAGGGGTTTGAGATGGGACCTATAGCTCAAATTAAATGTATATAAAATTTTATTTGGTAAACCTCAAAGGGAGAAACTGCTTGGGAGACCTGAGCATAATTTGAGAAATAAATTACATTGGAACTTAGGTAAATTTATTTTATGAAACATTTTTTCTTGAATTATATGCACTATCTAGAAGAAATAATGTAGGAAACAGGTTTGCCATTGTTTTATTCTTACTACTACAAATACTTTGTAACCTGGAGGAACATAATTTATATTAACTTAGATGTCTTTAACAGCTGACTGTGGATGGTTAACTTTCAGGTGGTTCGATATGGCTGCATCAGAGATCATCTTCGTGAAACATTGTTAGACATGGTGATGAGGGAGAGGAAAGGTGAGGTGGTGGACAGAATTGCCATTAAAAATGCCTGTCAAATGCTCATGGTTCTGGGGATCAACAGTAGAACGGTTTATGAAGAGGACTTTGAGAGACCATTCCTTCAACAGTCTGCAGAATTCTACAGAGTAAGATGATGGAAACTTGGTAGAATACATTGCAAGTAGAGGAAGTATGATTCATTGTGGTAAAATACAGTATGAGTAAGAAAGTGGAAATTACTCATCTCCTCTTAATTGTCCTTTCTGTTAATGGTACTTTTGTAAATGATGAAGTAATGGGAGATGGCTATTTGTGAATACTGTTTTATAAGTACTTATGGGAAGCTGTTCTGTCAGAACATGACCTCTGACCTTGCCAAATGGTGCCAGTGATCTCATTTGTGTAGGCTCAGTGACCTGTGTGGGGTGTCTGGAACTTCTCTTGCTGGATGATATCATCACATGGATTCCCAATTCAGGGATTTTAATTTCACTTCCACATATAAAAAACATATGTAGGTCTTCGTAGAAAGTATCTGTTATTGTCGTCCACTCTTAACCAAGATTGTATTAAAAAACTAGTGTGTGTCAAACCTGTATATGACTCTGCCAGCAAAACCACCTTCTGTTTACATTTTATTAGAATATTTCTAATTTTAGCTTGTGTTATTGCTTAATCATTCTTCCTTTCTGATGTTTGTGTCTTCAGAATTTTTATGTACATAATTTTCTTCTTCAGTTAGAAAGCCAGAAGTTCCTTGCAGAAAACAGTGCATCTGTGTACATTAAGAAAGTAGAAGCTCGGATAAATGAAGAAGCAGAGAGAGCTAAACATTATCTAGATGTATCAACAGAACCACGGATTGTAGAGGTTGTCGAAGAACTAAAAAAGAAACATATGAAAACGATTGTGGAGTCACGGATTGTAGAGGTTGTCGAAGAAGAACTAATAAAGAAACATATGAAAACGATTGTGGAGGTATGTGTGGTTTAATTACTTATAGGTTTATGGTAAAAATTCTGCAGAGCACCAATTTGAAGCAAATTTTTATTTTTAGATGGAGAACTCTGGTGTTGTCCACATGCTGAAAAATCAGAAGACTGAAGACCTAGCATGTATGTACAAGCTATTTAGTAGAGTAGCAGAAGGTCTTAAAACAATGGCTGATTGTGTAAGTCAGTACCTGAGAGAGCAGGGCAAAGCTCTTGTTCAAGAAGAAGAGGGAGTAACAAATGCTCGTACTACATCCGGTTCGCCCTCTATTGACATAGTCTGGAAATTTTCTGATCGCACCTCGTAGATGGTGCCAACAGACTTTCTGAACAAAGACACGGACAGTACACCGCCCCTAAATCAACTACGTCCACTGAAAGTAACCACAATCAGGAATGGGAAACAAAAATTTAAAAAATGAAACTTGTGCTAAGATGAAGACGAGCAGAAAGAGTTTTTGGGGCGATCTAAGGAACGAAAAGTGGACGCGGTGCGAACCTTTGAGGACGCACAATTTCAAAATGCGTTCATTTTATGCACTTCGTAAAAATAATTCATACAGACGAGCAAAAATTGATAAAATCGTTCGGCGTAGCTGTACAGTAACGAAGACCGAGTGAGAGCCTTTAAGAATTCCCATAAGTTAAGGGTCGACACGGCAAGTGGCTAACAGGTTTATGCAGAATCCTGGGGCTCCCAGAAAAATATCCCAATGAAAGCACATTTATATTAGAACGATACATCCAAAAGCTTTTTCTGTCCCCAAGCAATTATTTATCGTCTGTATCTTACACCAGAAGGGTGAGTGTATATTTGGAGCACGTGGCTTAGTCATCATTGCTGCCAAGGAATAGGTTATGGAAACGAACTAATGTAAAAGCCCGTTGAAATTCAGCGTAGAACGGATAATTTCCTTTCTTAATCTCTCATCCTCCTTAATTCCTGTCTTCCTATTCCTTAATCATGTATCGGTTAATGCGGCAACAATACAACAAAATTATTGTAGACTCCGTCTACTACTCTCCTTAAGATCGATTTTAATATTATCTTTCCATCTAAGCTTGTGATTCCTGGGTGGTCTCTTCCATTCAAAGTTTTTCAAACAAAATTGTGGATGCAAATTTTATAGTCGCCATGTGTGTGCTATCATCTCATACTTATTGATTTTATCATCCTAATAATACATTACATTGCGTAGTCATAATTATCCCTTAAATTTATAAAATTATATATATCAAATAAAATTTCGAACTAACGTTGTTACCTTCATAATGGAACTTCATGCAAAATCCACTTCTTAATGAACTGATAAAAGAAGACGTAAACTTTAAATAAAGGAAAGGTTATACTGAACCCATATACAGGAAAATTAAATTTCGTTTACAGCTTTTCGTACGGACTGCGAATACCAGGTTTAATCAAAATCTGTTTACTACTTTCAGGCATAAAACGTGAGTACGGACAGAAGTATTTACACAGACCGGCTATTTGTTATGCCACTGAATTACTTTGAGAAAGAACGCACATGATTCTACACTTAGAGATGGATGTCACATGCGACTGTCTTACACAAGACACGGAATATCATTAGCCATCGATGATGTACATGGGCATGTAAGCTATAAACTTTGCAGGAAACATAGTAATGACTCATTTTTACTGTTTCAGCTGAAAAACAAAAATAAACATTGAGTAATTATTCAAAGGCGTGGTTGTGGTACTATACTATGTTATGTTACATAACTTATTAGCACCATGTGCCAAAACTACTGATCAGATCGTGCCTTAATGATCGGACAGAAAGCTCAGCCGATATAACATATATATATTCATGGCAACAGGCGACTTAAAATCTACAGAAGGGCACAAAGCGAATTTAAACGAATTTGAAAGTTCCGGGCAGTTGGCAGATATCGTTGACCAGTTTTTGCTATGTTTGTTCCTGGATTATAACACATTACTGTGTTGCGCTATCAACTGAAGAGTTCAGTTAAATGAGTTTATGATAATTTTCAGTGGACTGTAAAACCAATGGAAGGCACGTGTCGTCGATTATTTCAAGGTTATATCCCGAAATTTATCTGGAAGGACTGGACAGATGCTCCATCAATGAGACAATGCATGATCAGTATCCTGAGCCAGATGAATTCCATCCTCATTGCACTACTTTTTCACATAAATTTAAATAATATCCTCCTATCTGTGCCGGGGTCTCCTTCCACGTTTTCCGACTAAAATTTTGTACGTTTTTCTCATTTCCTCCTTCTGTCCATCTTATTCCTGTTTGTTTAATTACTCTGTCTGACAATATTAGATAAAGTGTACAAATTGTAAAGTTTCTCATTGCGTAATTTTCTTCAGTCATTTGCTATTTCATCTTTCCTACGTCACAGTATTCTCCTAGAACCTCGTTACCTAATTTCCTTAATTTATCTGAAATATTAGGAGGTTCTCACGGGGGTGAGGATGTTTATTGTGATCTTAAGACCAACAAAATATGCAAAATTATAAAAGAAACTTTCAGAAAAAAAATCTTGCGAATCTCATAAGTGCTCTCCACAGATGTGAAAGAAAGAAAATGGAAGGAAGAAATGGTTTCTGAGTCTCCATTATCTAAGTACCGGAGCTCTTTGGAGATGGCTCTGGTCTTCAGGCTAATTCAGTCACATTCTTTTTTATTTACGGTTACTGGTGCTTCGTTAATAAGAAAATAAACACCCTCCCCTTTTATGCTTTGTACATCACGCATGCCCAGTAAAATGGAAGGTGAGTCAGGACTCCCTGTAATTTTAATTAAATGTGAGGCTCACCACTTGTTTAAAGGACAGTAGAATAATATTTCTGTGGAATTTAGAAAATTTGTGATGGCAAGCGTTAAATTAATATTAACTCAAGACAATTTATTATTCTATTTATATATCGCGTTGTTTTTTCGTATTCTAAGTATGAATTCCATGCGAAAGCTACATTTACGGAGCAGCGACGTAGGAGAGAAATTTTAATTTTAACAGAGATATTACAAATTCCTTCGTCATCACGCCCACATTGTAATTCGGTATTACATAATTATTACCCATCCCTTACACGTGTACCAATCCTATGAAACACGAAGCTCATCTAAATATTATTTTAAAAAGTAGTTCCTACATCAAAATACAACGCGTCTCCATTAAATAGTTCAATCTGTTAGCGTTGTTTAAGGAAATAATCGTTGCTGATTCTGAGAATCATATGAAACTCGTAATGCACTCTAGGGAAAATGCAGTTACTGAAAATTAAATCACTTGCAGACTGTGCACTTGCTTCGAAGGGTTAAATGCAGTCGCCTTTGGCGTAATGTCAAAAGGGTGATTGTCCACAGCAGGTTTTCCTTTCCGCTAGAACTGCTCTAGCTAGAGTAAGTTTAAATTTCACAGAATTAATTCAGGAATGTAGTCTACACATTATTGAGAGTGCTCTAGCTAGGTAATATCAAACCCATCTAGGATTTTTCTACTGTACACTAGTTGACACTGTCTCTGGCTCTATTTGAGCAAACAAACAGAGTTCATATAATAGCTAGGTTTGACTGTCCGTCCGTACATTCCATTGAACTCATTAAAGTAATCTCTGGCAATCAGTGCGTCATTTGATTGCACAAAGCTTCAAATCATATAACATTTTACTTATTTCTGGGATTTATGGTTTGTTTATGTGTAACAAGAAATTAAATTCTTAAATACTAACAAGATCAAAACGTCAAAGGGGTGTAGGAAACAAGACAAGACGGATAAATACAACGTTCTTAAATATTTCAGTAACTCTTCAGTTTCTTAATAATTTTCCGTAAACCCCCTAAAGTTCTTGAAATACACTTTCTGCATCACATTTTTTTTATTTTTATACACGTGTGTAGTAATTAAAAAGTTCCGATGTTGCTGCCATCTTCAGTCTAGAAGCGATAAGATGTGTTATATATGACAGGGAGTGGACTGCGAGGATAAGAAGAAGAACGCCCCTGTAAACGGGCACAGAAGAGTAGAGACCCTTATCAGAACAACTTTTCTCCTATTACACAGAATCTGAAGTAAGATGAAACAACGAAAACTTCTTATTGATGAGCATGAAAACCTGAAATAATATAGCAACAGAGTCGCATCTTTATGTTTGCGTTGATTAGAACTCACTTTTGCCTCGAAACTGAAACACTAGGTACGCTGCACTAATTAAAAGTAAGACAGGTAATCTCCAAACCAAAAACCGCACAATGAAAACTTACATCTATTACGTATATGTTGATGCATTGTATATTTCCCATGTTTCGAAGGGACCTACAGCTACCTTCTTCAGAGCATCTTTACCGCTGTAAAGATCTCAAAACTCGTCCATTCGGACAAGCTTCATCGACGTTGCAACGGACACCGAGACTCCTTGGGTACATAAATGTAAAACAGCAAATCACGAACTCTTGCCAGGTTTTGCGGTATGGTCTCACATTTGGATACATACTGTCTGTATGGACGCTTATTTGTTACATTATCTTTTACTGATATTTGGTCCTGCTCGTGTCTAGCACTTTAACAAATGTCAGAGATCACTGGGGTATGTTCTTACAAACTGCAATATCAAATATCGAGTTTTTCACTAGGTACAAAAATAAAATCTTCCTGAGCATGCCAGATTGAATGAAAAGTAAATTGTGAAGTGTTAAGTTTGCAAGTCACGGAGGGCAGAAATTCTAAGAAAACACAAAATATTGGATCATAAAGTTCAGAGTTACTCACTAGTATAAATCAGAGGCTGGAAGCTCTACAAATCTTCATGCCAGGACAGACACTTTTTCTGGCTCAGTCGCAACTTCATCTTTTGGACACATGGAGCAACTCACATCATTCCATGAAACTTACTGTGGCCTATATAGCATTTCTAATATTCATCTTCTAACTATGGGTACGCTCGGCTTGTTATACAGCTCGGTCAAGAAGGTGGCTGGTTACGGAATCGATTCCCGACAGAGGCAGAATTACACAACCAAATAATATATTATAACTATTTTCCTTACTAATATTTAGCATATGTTGTTCTTTGTAATGAATACACGCACACGGTACAGAATGGTGTGTAGACAGACAAATGCATCGACCGTTGTCAAAGTATCTATCGACCTTTCCTAGATTTGGGGCTGCTTTCACCTTTTCTTATAAACTCGCAGAACGTAAGGTTATAAATGAAGACGATTTGTTAAAATGCCATAACAGGATTTTAATATATTTAGACCTACACAATACATATATTTACTATCAGATATATTTACTATCAGATATATTTGATATTGCGTCCCAGATGTTGACTTCACTTCTTCATTAAGGTAAACAATT